ATTCTGTTTCTTTTGATACTAAATAAGCAAAACTGCAGATGATAGCATGCAGAGATGTAACGTGAACTCACCACAGACAGATTCAATGATATGAAACCTGGCATTTTGCCATCTGTCTCTAGTAAATGTCTTCTCTGGGAGTTTCTTGTCTCCTCACTGCCTTTCTAGTGACTGAGGGCAAGTGTGAGTCCCTTCTATAAAGGTTTTCAAGCTTCCAAATCTGACCACTGACCTGTGGGTACACCAGGGCCAACAACATCTGTGCAACTTAAAATGAATGATGTTTCCTGTCATAACCATTTTTTGAAGTGTCTCAGGACCTCAGATGACAGGGCTGTTTACATGGCTGCAAATGAAGTGTGCTGCTCAATGTTCTCAGATAGCAAGAAGATTCCTGATTATTTTACCAGTATCTCAATTTTCATCTCCTTCCTAATTCTGTCCTTGCCCCATAAAGTATGGCTACTTCAAACCTTCTCACTTAAAGCACCTTCCTGAACCAGCAGATGATCTTGCTTGTACACTCTTAGAACAAAGAACATCCTCCTTAGTCCCACATCAAGACTTATGGCTGGTTTTGTTTCTCTTTGCATTGACAGCTTAGAGCACTGTTTTCCAAAACTGAGCAGAAATAAAAGCCCTACAAGGAGGTGAATTGTCAAGCTGAAGCAGTAAAGGCTTTATGGCTCCCCTAATGCTTAGCATAAAGCACTAAGAACATCTGAAAGTTAGCTGTAATGTCTACATTTTTAAAGTGCAGTCTCTTTGCAGAGAAGATGCATGTTGCTATTTCAGTCACTACACTTCTCATGCAACTGTTGGGCTGAACTACTTCCAAGCAAAAAATAGATCTTAGTCCATGTGCTCCAGAATACTCAAGTGTTCTAAAAAATTTAGCAAAAAAAGTATGAGGCTGAGGTTAATTTGTGCCAAAGGAACCACCAAATATGTTACATGAGCAGCAGTGTAAGTGCTGCTAGGACATGTGGTTAAAGTATTCCAACAGCAGAGATAATTAATCCATTTTTTCCCCCTAGTATTTGGGTACTTACTGGGCAATTCATCAGTGCAATACACAACAGTGTTTACTGTGTGATCCATTTTCTTAACTGACCACCAAACCCCCAGCAGCCCCATGTAGAGCACACAACAAACAGCGTGTGCCACTGGGGATAAAGGCATGTCTGAAACGGGGTGAAACAGATGTGTGCCAGCACTGGAGATTTTGGGAATGTGCTCCAGTCCTTCAGTAGCTAAGGTTTCTTCTCCAGCCTCTGAGAACGGGGATGGGATTGTGATGCTCCTGGGTACAGTTCACCAACACCTCTAAAATTATCTGGAACCCAGAAACCAGAAAGGGAACAGCACAACTGCAAAGAACAGCAGTAATGAGAAGAAAAAATCAGCAGAAGAATATGGACACATCCCAAAACTCGAAGGGTCTTTTCTTTAGCTATTAGTATTTTGCCTATGAGCTCAAGATTCCTCTAAGATTTAGCATCCAGCCTTCTCAGCATGTTTACAGTTTCCCAAATGACTTCTGTGGAGAGCTTTCCATACAATCCTTTACATACAATACCCTTTTCCTGCCTGTCATTGAAGATGTCACATTTGACTGTCTTTATATTTTTTAATACATCCAAAAAGTGCTGCTCCTGCCAAAAAAGAAAAAAATCTTCTGCATGTTCCAAATTGCATTAACTTATACAACTACCAGGTTATTCACTTGCTTTTAATAGTCTAAGACACTGAAAAGAGGAGGAAATGTGTTGCTCACTAAGCACAACGTAACAACTCCAGCCACTGTGTGCAATTTCATTTCATACATCCACCTGTGTCAGGAAATAATGCTCCTCCAGCTGAGTGAAGAAGCCATTTTCATGTCCATTCTCTTTGCTGAAGCCACGAAAAGAAAATCAGAGCAATGCACTTTTTCATGACTTTAGCATAACTAAAAGAAAACTTAACTCTATAAAAGGAAGCCTGGTTTCTCTCCTTATTTGGCAGTAAAACATGTTCTGATTGTGAACATGGCATGAATACAAAGTGCACTGTAATTGAGCTGTACAAGCATTTCAGCTTTAAGATGGCACTTCTAATCTTCCTCTGTTGTATGATCCAAAGACTATGATGACTTAAAATTAAGAGTTTTCAGTTGTTTACAAGGCAGACTTAGACAGTTGAAAAGCTTATTGATTAGGTGCCATTATTCATCCACAGATTAAAACTATCAGCAAGGGTTATACATTGCTTTCAATTATGTTTAGATGCTGTGCTCCTGTATTATTAGTTCACATGTTTTGAGAAAAACACCTTGGACCAGTTAAATCATTACTGTACATGGGGCAACAGTAAGTAATAGTTCAGTGTCCCCTCCCTTATTATGGCTTCAATTAGTTGTTTTAAACAAAAAATTCTGTTCCAGTGTGTTTTGAGACAGGATATCCAAAGGGAGTTTTCTTCTATTGCCCAATAACATGGACACTGGCCTGTGTTCTAAAAGTTATCCTTTTTTTTCCCTTAACTTTTTGCTGCCAATCCTCAAGGCTGTTGCTTCTCTTCCAGACCTTACTAAGCTCTTGGCCATACCATTCTCTTCATGGGGTATTTCTTTTCCCCTGGGCTGTGACAGGACAAAGCAAGGAATAAGATTTAAAAGCTGGAAAAATTAATAGGAAAAAGCCCCATTCCTTACTCTTACAATGAGCAAGTCACTGAGTTTAGCTGTGGAAATTCCCCAGGCAAAGGTCACAAGAGGTTGGGAGAATATTGTAAAGCAGCACCACTGCACGCCCTTCTGCTCCCTGGGGACACTGGCTGTGGGACAGGGACATGGGGTGACAGCCTGGGGGAGCCTTTGCTCTTGGCTCACCTGCCTGAGCTTGTGGCAGGTATTTCAGCCCAGAGGACTTCACCATTCTGACTACAGGGATAAACCTCAGTGGTATGGGCACAGCTTGCACACCTGGGCACTCAGTGAAAGTCAGGTGGGAATTGTGTCTCAGATGGGGAGAACACTGACCAGTTTAGTCAAGACTGAGTCACTCAAACACTAAACATGAAATATCAGGCTAGAAATCTTCACTTTAGATATTTCTTTCTCATCAGGTGGATGTACAGCTGGAAATTCACAATACAAACAGGGGATAACTACTTTTTGATCAGCTTTTGGAAACAATGGAATTAATTTTTACCCAACACCAGCATTACTCAGAGGCATTTGCAGCTGCTGGCTTGAGTGTGTCTACAGCTGCCTGGGCTGTGCAGGAGGAGGGAAGCCACTCTACCTCCCTGACAGAAAATCTGGGGATGTGCCAAGGGCTAATGTGAAAGGGTCCATTCATCCAGTGGTCAGCAGTGGGAGCACTTATGGGACTCAGGGATTAGGCAACCATGGCAGATAGGGATGGTAAATCTGCACTCATGTCCCAGATCGTGTTCCCTGATACACAGGGAATTTAAGGTAGAAATCCAGGAAACAAAATAAAACATGGTGACATGTTGTAATAAGTGAAAAGGTATTTAGTTGTTTCCACAAAGAGAACCACTGAACTACTAAATGAGTTTGCTATTCCTGTGATGGAAGGACAAGTAGCACATTAGCTTATTCCATTATTAAATTAATATCAGCTTAGTGTGTTTAATTGATCTAAATTGTTCTGATCCAGCTGCAGTTGGCATGTTTGAACCAGCCTGATGTTAGTGTGCCATAGTCCATTAGTTATTTTCCTTAGCCAGCTCAGGGAACTTGAAAAGACTCGGGAGCACCAGAGGAGCAAGGAGGCAAGAGACCAGCTGCTTTTCCCTGGTTCTTTCTCTCCTCTTTTCTCCACTAACTCTGCTGTCAATCACTATTACCAGCTAGAGCTGAGTCTGCCAATCACTCTGACACTCTGCATTTCCCAAACCAGGGACTCTCCTGTGAAAACTGTTGACTTGGCTTAAAATACGACTCCTCACAGGATTATTTTTTACTACCTGCTATAGAATTTGTGCATGCACAAGATGAATGCTCGTGAGGACTTAATTTAAACAGGAACATGACAGAATTGATAAATCTAGTGACAAGAATAGGAATGGCCAAGAAGAGAGAGAGAGACTTGTGAGTTATTCTGCCTGCCCGCTGTGCTGAACACGCAACTCAGTGTGTCACATTCTCTGGGTACACTTGACATTTTACAGAATAAAGGGAAGACTTGGTGACCCAAGCAGAATAAAACAATATTTTTAGATGCAAAACCACTGGGACTCAGCATATGGAGTTGCTGGAAGTGAAGCAGGACTGCTGTTATGGTACAAAACCAGTAAAAAAGAGGAAGAGCAAAACTATGAATAAATAGGAAAACAGGACCACTGCAGTCAGGTGGGAAACTTCTTTCATCTGCAGAGGTTGTTAAAAGTCTTTGGAAGATGGTGTTTGGTCACTGCTTTTCTCTCAAACCACAATGGCAAGTTTAAGTATTACTGATGACTGGTGGGAAACACAGCACATTCTCTTCCCCCTGAGACCTGTGCAGGGCAGAAGAAGATGGATTTTGGTTCAAGGACCTCCGAACTTCAGTAGACTATGATAACCTGAGCCACCATCCTCACTCTTACTGGCACTGCAGGCTGCTACAGGCTCCCTCACCCAGAGCTCTGCCTGTGCCAGGCTGTGCTGCAGAGCTCAGCTAACCCAGGTCCTGCTCACCAGTGTGCCTGGGGCCACCTGGGCAGTGTGGGGCTATTGCCACCTGCTCACCAAACACTGATTTGTGCCAAGTCCACAGGGGGATGCAACCTCAGTCTGCTTAGTGCCTCTCTCCCCACAAAGGCATCTCCGACTCTGGGAAGGAGTCACTCTGGGCCGAGAAACAACCATCCTCAGAAAAGGGTTTCCTCCTCATTCACTTCTCTGTCCTGGACTAGGGATTTCTTCAATCAGGTAATTCTGGAAAACCACCACCATACAATAATTCTCAGTGCTTAGTTAACATGAGGTGAGGAAAGGGCCAGCTCACCTTGCATTGTCCCTCCCGTGTGATTTCAAGAAGTTCATATCGCGGTATCTGGACAGGAATGCCACGAGCTGATCATTTGTCCTGTGAGAGAAAGAACAAAAGGTGCACAAATTACACTGTGAAAACCTCTTTGTCTAGAGCAATCTATATATTTATTGTTCTCATTTGGGGATCACTCTCAGACTCTGAAGGAGGTGGTTCCAAACAAAACTTAAATCCTGCTGCTGAACTTCAGTGACCCCCTCTGCTCAGGAAAGCATACATGGAAGGAAGCACAGCTTTATTACACCTTAACAAATTTCTTATCAACCCTTGGCAGGTATTTTAAGCACTATAAGAGAGTATGTGTGAAATAATACTGCTCAACACTTTTTAAGTATGAAAATCCAGCTGCAAGATGACTGCATCGATAGTTCCATTTTACACGCTTTGCTAGATATTTCCTAGGGAATTTGGTTCAGCATCTATTGACAATTATTTGTTTTCGTTGTGTAACAGAGAACAGACCAAGGTTGGAATGCATAACAAAAGAGAATTTTGATGTCAAAAAGACAATATAATCAACAGGAACAAAGGAATTTAGAAGGTTAATTCCAATTAGTATGACAAGCAATCTGACACCAGCATTTGCAAAATTTTAGCTGACATGTCCAAGAATGTATTTATGCTTGACAGCTTTTGTGGTCAGTTATTTCTTTAACAATGAAGCAAAAATATTCTGTATTTATCTAGGTCAGCATATTTAGGAAAACTGAGTAAATCACATTAAAAAGATCTTAATCTCCTGAATTGCATTCAAACCCACAACCTCATGGATACAATACCATTTAAGCAATGGTCTGTTATGAAGTTGGTGGCAGAAAGACTCAAGATAAAAGAACCATCAATAAAACTGTATTTTGAAAAAAATTCATTATTATAAGCCACAGAAAACCAAGTTAAACCTGAATGTGTTTAACTGTAAAAAAATGTGCTTAAATTCTGGGGTCAGGCTGCAACAACCTGGAAATGTTATCAGCCAAGTAAACTATTTTCATCATCTCATTGACTTTAACTAGACCAAATGAATTATCTGTCAATCAACCATCCTGACAGACAGGACCTGGAGACGCTCCTCCTTTACTCCTTCATGTGAGCTGCAATACCTCCCAGGGTCAGACTGCATCTCAATTTGGCAAACTCAGAAACTGCTTTCTGTGTAGTAAGCTGTGCAGATTTTCACATTTGCTGCTCCAGTGACTCTCCATCTTACTGGGATGAATAGGCATTTAGTGAATTTACTTAGCAATGCTTCCACACGAAATGGTTTCAATGGCTGACATCTTCGGGTGAGTTTCTAGGCAAAAGCTGGCATGCAAAGGTGATCCTTAGAAACATAATCAAGTTTGGAAGTGCTTGAGCTTTAATTTCCTTACAGGATAAAAATCAAATCAACCAAAATAACAATCCACACCACTCAATAAAACATCATCCTTTCTAGATTGCTCACCAACCTGCATTTTGCTATTCAGCAGTACTCTACCCAGTGTAACAGGACTTGGGGCTGCCACACAAACTTCTCATTGCTCCTCAGTTTTTTAGGTAATTCTTATAAATGCTCAAATGATGATCAATAATTGACATTTTCCCTCTTCTTGAAAACACTGGTGGTATCTTGGTCCTACTTTGAATAATTTAAATTTTTTGTTTTAAAGAACTCATACAGAGTTTTAACCCTTCTCAATTAATATGCTTCTTTTCATGTGTTGACAAATAGAACTAAAACATCATAGTTCCCTTTGGTAAAACTTCCTAGTTAATTGACATTTAGATTTATGCAGTCAACCAATTCTGTGCTCAGCGTGGCAGCACACTGAATTTCTATTAAGCTTTCATTCAACATGCTCCTTCTGGCCCCAACATCATGAGGATGCTGCACATCACCTCTGACTTACTCCACCAGAAGACATTAAGAAGAAAATCAAAGGTATTGAACACACCATAGATGTTAATGCATTTGTTAAAATCCTGTTCACCTTTCAGAAAACTTTGCCTTCAGGGGCAGATTTCCTAAATGCCTCTGGCACAGATTGCTGCCACACTTCTTCACAGAGAGCAGCAGCAGAGTCTCTGCCACGGCAGAGCCTCTGGCACCAGCTACTCCCAGTGCCTCTGGCACTCCTTTGGACAAAGCCTGGAGACATGGGCCTGAGATTTTCATCACTGGGAGCAACAGCAACTGCACACTGCCAAATTAAACTCTGCTGTAGCTCCACAAATTTCAGGAATAATTCACTGAGCATAAATTTGGCACAAAATCTTTTACTAACTATCACAGTAAAACAGAAAGTAACAAGTGCAACATAGCCTTCCTAAGAAGGAAATAAAGTCATGGGGAGAGGGAGGGTAGTTCATGCTACTGATTAAAAATACACTTATATTACATATCACATTCCTATCAGTTTCCCCAGTGTGTAACACAGCATGAATCAGATTGAGGAAAAAGCCCACTGCAGTTGGTGCCTGAGGCTGGACCTGAGGGATGCATCCACAGCTCCCACTTCCATTTCCTTTTGCTATTAAACTCACTTGGAGGGCAAGGCACCAGGGAGTAGGATTAGCCAGCTGGTTACCTGTATCATTAGCAGGGAGGAGGATGGTGTGAGTGTAGAGAGGCTGAGAGAAAATGGGCATTTTCAGGTGTGCAGCACACAGGGAGAAGAAACACAAAACTAATCCTCCAGTGAGCTCCAAGAGTGGAGAAAGCTTGTGTGTGGGGGAGGGCTGCCACAACAAGATGACAAGTGAAGAAGAGTGATGGGAACAAAGCACATTTGAGCTCACTGATGCAGATTTGGTGCTCAGCAAGGGCAGGGCTGCCAGCTGGGACGCGGGCGCCCATCTTCCCCAGCTGCTTGCTGAGGTCACCTCGGTAAGGTCCCACAGCTCCCCTCCTGCAGCAAGGGTGGACAGGGGTGGCAGGGGCACTGTGCCCACCTGCTGAGGTGCCACTCAGCAAAGCTCAGCCACAGGGCTGCACTCAAGGATGGCTGGGCAGGCAGTGGGGCTCCAGACGCTGCAAAAGTGACTCAACCCATGGCACTGCTCAGCTGGGGATGTGGCTGAGCCCCTGGGCTGGGACTTGGAGTTAAGTCAAGATTAGAGTTACAGGACTAAGGGAGAGGCAAAGGTGAGTCCTATATCCAGAAGAAAATTTAGAAGATATTGGCAAAGCAAAGCAAAGTGTGCTACCAGTGTTTCCTCATGAGCAGCCCCTGGCTGGGACTGAGACGTCCCAGGGTGTGAGCAGGCAAACCAGGCACTCATTAAGCACATGCTGAGCATGGCAATAATTTCAGAATATGGCCTGTATGCTGGGGACTGAAATGAAAAACTGGAAGAGAAAGACTGACTTTGTGTTTGCACTGTCTGCCCACGCTGGAGGTCTGTGCAGAGAGCGGTGTGAGCGAGCCCCAGCGCACAGCCACAGCCAGACGTGTGGACAGCAAGAGACACTGCCGGTCTTGCTGGCTTTAAGCAAACCCTCCACCCCTAGGGACTAATCCAAGAAAAGAGCAGAGATGCCCTCAGTCTGCAGCTGGGAAAACAGATTAGGAAAGTCTTTGCAGAATATGAGACAAGAGATTATTACATTTGGAAGATAGTGATGGCTAATAAAAATATTCTGATTCAGCAAGGTACTTTAACACATGGGCAACTTGAAAGATGTAGGAAATAGCAGCCACTTCAATATGATTATTAATATGTCAGAATCTATACAAGTTAATAACAATTTGGCTAAGTTAGATCAAAAGTTCAGGAGCTTTTGGCAGCACAAAACTGGGTATGGAAACAAGATGGTTTGATTCTTTGTAGGAACCAGATGAAGGAAAGAGAACTGCTCTGAGTTTTTAAATTATTCATCTTGATTAACTTAGGGCTATCTAATGACAAGCCTGCTGGCTGCTTCACAGGAGGAGTTAGTGCAGGGAGGGGATTAGCCTGGCCATGGTGAGCAGTGGTGGCAGCAAACACAGCAGTAGCTCTGCCTGGTGTGGGTGCTGGAGAGGCAGTCAAGGATTACAAAAGCATCTGAACAGGCAAAAAAAAGAAAGACAAAGGCAAAAGTGTTTGGGAGAATAGGGCAAGGAAGCTGATGTGGTTTGAAGCAGCAATGAAGGGCCTTTGAAGCAGGGATGATGAAGGCAAACATACAGTCAGAAGAGGTAAATCAAAACTGTTACAAGTTCTCCCAGTCCCCAAAGCTTTGGCATTTCCAGCCCCCTGACTCATCCCCACAGTTTCCTTTCCCAGGACTCCTGTGACTGTGTGAAGGCACAGCCCTACAGAACCCAGACCTACAGCAACCCCAGCAGCTCTTTGCCAGGAAACTGTTTCTACAAGGTCACTAGAGAAGGGAAAGACTGCAGAGACAAAAGCTGGAATTATGGGGCCAGCTCACCTATTCAGAGTTAAGCATGATATTAAGGGTTAACATGGCTAAACACAGTTAAACAGCAGATGTGCACACGAGCCTCAGAGTGGGAGAACTGAATGCCCTCAAATCTGCTACCTTCTTTTCAATAAATTCTTACAGGTACTTAAGCTCACTGATTTCAGTAAGTTATTAATTTCATACTCATTAGATTCTCTTATACATATTGTAGATTATTAGGGCATGCCATCACTACCAAGCCCCCAAGGCAGGAGAGCTTCAGGAGAGTTCGTTGCCTGGTTATTCCTAGCCCGGGGCTATCCCTCTCCCTCTTACACAGGGAGTGCCTGTGCTCAGCCTGGCTCCCCAGCTTCTGCAGCTGCCTGACAGTCCTGCAGCGGGCACAGAGGGGCTGGGGAGGAAGGAGAGCAGCCCAGGAGACAGGGAAGGGGTTTTGCCAATTGCTGCACACACCTGCACAGCACCCAGTGCCCTCTGAAAGCTTCTGCTGGGGCACAGCAGCACTCGTGGCATCTTCCCACTCCAGAAAGGGATCCTGTTCTGGTCCCTCCACCAGGCCAGTTGGCATGAATGTGGGCACAGCAAGTAACTTTGCAAAAGGATGCAACAGACGAAAGATTCAACAGAAAAAAACCAAACACCTCCA